CCTAACCCTAAACCCGAACCCATGGCCGTAGCCCTTGCCCCCTGCAGCCCCCATGACCGATTCCCTTGTCCCTGTCCCCGCAGAGTGAGTACCGGGCCAGGGGCTTCAGCGAGGTGGTGACCCCCAACCTGTTCAGCCCCCGGCTCTGGGAGCTCTCGGGGCACTGGCAGCACTACAGCCCCCACATCTTCTCCGTCCCTGCCACCCCCGAGAGCCTCTCGCTCAAACCCATGAACTGCCCGGCGCACTGGTGAGTCCGGAGGCCCTGGGGTGCCTGGGGGAGCTSCKGGGGGCTCTGTCTGTCTGTCTGTCTGTCCGTCCCCAGCCTGATGTTCTCCCACCGCCCGCGCTCCTGGCGGGAGCTGCCCTTGCGCCTGGCGGATTTTGGGGTTCTGCACCGCAACGAGCCCCCCGGGACGCTGACGGGGCTGACGCGGGTCCGGCGCTTCCAGCAGGACGACGCCCACATTTTCTGCACGTTGGAGCAGGTGTCTGTCCCCTGCCCCCTCCTGCACCCCCGGAATGTCCCCCCTGCCCCCCTAACGCTGCTTTCCCAGCTGGAGAGCGAGATCGATTCCTCCCTGGATTTCATCCGCACCGTCTAYGCTGTCCTGGGCTTCTCCTTCCGCCTGGCCCTGGCCACGCGTCCCGATGGGTTCCTGGGGGACCCCGAAACCTGGGATCGTGCAGAGCAGGTGGGATRACACCCCCAGTCCCGTGTCCCCCCTGCTCTGTGCCCCCCTGACCCTCCCAACCCCCTGCAGCAGCTGGAGCGGAGCCTGCGGAAYTTCGGGCAGCCCTGGGAGCTGAGTCCGGGGGACGGCGCCTTTTACGGGCCCAAGGTGAGGGATTTTGGGGAGGGGGATCATCCCCAAAGGGGGCGAAGCAGGACCCTTCTGGAACGCCCCCTCCCCACAATTCCCACCAGATCGATATCCGGATCCGGGACGCGCTGGGGCGGCAGCACCAATGCGGAACCATCCAGCTGGATTTCCAAATGCCYGAGAGATTCCAGCTGGAATAYGCCAGGTGTGGGGAGGGGATTGGGGATTTGAGGGGTGCAGGGTTGGTGTGGGGGGGTCAGGTTTGGGGTCAGGGCTCTCCTGCCCCCCCTGATCCCCAATTTCCCTCTCCAGCCCCAGTGGGCGCCCGGCACGGCCGGTGCTGATCCATCGGGCGGTTTTGGGCTCCGTGGAGCGCATGGTGGCCGTGCTGGCCGAGAGCTGCGGGGGCCGATGGTGAGAGCAGAGCCCAAAAACACCCAAACCTCACCCCCTGTCCCTGGAGCACCCCCAGCTCCCCCTGCTCTCCAGTGTCCCCAGTGTCCCCTGTGTCCCCTGTGCCCCCCAGGCCGCTCTGGCTGTCCCCACTGCAGGCCATGGTCATCCCACAGACCCCCGAGGTGGAGGACTAYGCCCGGGAGGTGAGTGTGTGACTCCCCCATGGTGTCCCCCACCCCTGTAACCCCCAGTGACCCCCCAAACCCCCCCAATGCCCCCTCACTGACGCTGGCGGGGCAGGTGCAGGCAGTGCTGAGGAGGGGGGGTCTCCTGGCTGACCTGGACGGGGACCCCGGGACCACCCTGGCACGGAAGATCCGTCGGGCCCAACTCTCCCACTACAACTTCCAGCTGGGTAAGGGTGGGGCTGTGGACCCCCAGACCCCCCTGGAACCCCCTGGGACCCCCTGGGATCCCCTGGGACCCCCTGGGACTGGCTGCACGCCCCCAACCCCATCCTGGGGGCTACTGCAGGGAACAGTGGGACCTTCCTTTGGGAACCCTCTGAGACCCCCTGAGACCCCCTCAGAAATCTGCTGGAACCCCTCTGAGACCCCCTGAGACCCCCTCGGAAATCCGCTGGAACCCCCTGAGCCCCCCCTGGGTTTCCAGGAGCTCCCTCCCCCCTTGAGAATTCACCATCCACCCGTGGGACCCCCCTAAGATCCACTCGGGAACTCCCCAGGACCATTTTAGGGACCCCCCCCTGACCCAGGGCACCTCTGAGACCCCCACCCATTTTGGGACTGTTGTGGGAATCCCTCTGAGACCCCCACCCGGGACCCCGTGTTAGCCCAGGGTGGTGGGTGCAGCTCAGAGCTGGGGGTGCTGT